AGGTGATGCCGAAAAATTACCCATCAGTTATAATACGGAAACAGATTCATCTGATTAAATCAATCAAAGACGAGATGGCACAATAAAAAATCGTTGGATAACCTGGATTCATCAAAAGAATCTGAATAAAATCAGCTTCGATGATGAGTCAAAGCAACTCTCTGTTAACTTTCCATTAGGAAAAGCAAACGTGCTTAATAAACTCAAAGGGACAAGACAATTGAAATCCCCAAAAAAAGAAAGACAGCAAGGGAGACAACAAAAAGCAAGAATTGAATATTTAGGTCAGATTAACCAAAGCTGCTTGCAGATTCTTTCCTTTTTTTTTTCTTGGTAAGGCCAAACACATTTTTCAAATACTATGACTAGAACCAGGATACTCACCTATGCACTAGGTAGGGTAGTGAAGGACAAACTAAGTTAATTTGCCTACTTAGGGATTTGCAAGAAAGACATAGGCATCCCACCTAAGGTTTGATTAAATAACACAATTTAAGTATTGAGAAATTCTCAAAATAGATCAATGAATAATTGAATTCTATTTAAAAAAAAAAAAGAAATTATGAAGATATTTATAATGCTATTTAAGTAACATTTACTGAATAAAATGAAAATAAGAAATACTAAAACTGATAAGATTAAAAATTCTATTCCTAATAAAATAGAAAATACTACGAATGCAAATAAAAAAACTAAATACTAATAAGAATAAAATGCTGAAGTTACTAAACTATACTAGTAGACTCCTTCATAGTATAGTAGTATTACATTCAATAGAATTATGATTTCAGATTTACTTGGATAATCTATAGCTACTCTATACCAATGCCTTAGTCCTATTTGCAAAGCCTTATCAATTAATTTTTCATGATTTATTTGTCATCCGACTCATGGAAAAGTTTGCAAAATTGAGGATGATATAATTGTTTGATGTTAATTATCCAATGCCCTGAGTTGACTTTCCCGAAAAAGACTTTACTAGTTGAAAGCATTATATGTGACAAATATAAAACCGTAAATATCTCAACTTGAATAAACAAAGTGGAATACTGTGATTAAAATTTGAAAAGCAGAGAACTCACTGGATCCCAGAGTAATAGTTGGCGCACTAACCGTAAGGCCCAAATATTTGGAAACCTGCGGATATTGTTAAAAACCAAATCATGGGAATGATAAAAAAGAACTGTGTTCATCAAACATCACAGTATGAAACACATATCAAACTAAACAAACCCAAGTTTAAGAGGGTCTCTACTCCTTATTTGGTGTGAAAAGAACTCTTCAGAGCATTTCCATGAAGCAGGTGAAACTCCACCCTATATCACAAAGTTTTATCACTTATGTATTTCTAGACATCAGGACTTCATTCAGCAATTAGAAAATAGGATAACTCACTTGCTTCATATAGGTATGATGCTTTAAGGAACTCCCAGGAATTAAGATACACAACTCCATAAATGACCTGAGCCTGAAACCATATAGTCAAAAGCACCAATGTCACAATCTATTTTTCTCCTCCTTATGAATTGCTAGAATCTATTGAAATTGATGTAAGACATGTTTCCCTCCCAACAGGTACAGCATTTTTCTTGCCCAGATGACAAACAATACTGAGTGACTCATATCTTTTGCATGGCAATCAACAGTTTTCATCATCATAGTTACAAACTATCCATCTACTTACTCATAAGCAAGCTCTTGGGAAATTTCAGTCATCACCAAGTACAATAAATCATTTTCTTAAAAAATGAAATTCAAATATGTAAAGAAGATAACAAATAAGAGATATATATATATATCATGTACCTACATAGAAAAAAAACATCCCACCCAAGTTTTGCTGTGTTCTTCTCAATTTGAATCTAATATA